GGGCCGCCACCCAGGCTTGGGAGGGAGCCAGCCGCCAGGCGTGTGGGTGCGCGCGTACGGGAGTGTCACCGAGAGAGAACCAGCCAGGGGGCGGGGTCTTTCAGCTGAACTACTACTTCTAAGAGACATATAGGGTTAGATTCCCATGAGCCTCTGGTTACATCTTTTTTCCCCCCACTGTGGAAGTAAAAGCCTAAAATTTTAAACCTAATGTATCTTTGACTTGTATTTAAAATACAAGTTAATGCCTCCCAAAGTATCTAGACTGGCATAATTAGGAAGGAGGGGGATGAAGATCGGAGCTGGTGAGCACAGAGTGTCCTTGACTGTCAGTGTTTCTGAAAGAAAAGCTTTTTCCTAACATTTTTAGCCACAATCCCAGATTCTCTGTTTCATGTCCTTTTAATGGGTCAGTCAGAGATCTAGAGAGGAGGATGGTGTCTGTTCCATGTTAGGCTTCATCCCAGTCAGGTCCATATTGTTAGTACCATCAAGACAAGACAAAACCAGACAAACAAACACAGCACTTAAACAAAAGAAAGGGGCCCAATACAGATTATCAGAGTTCCAAGACCGAGTACCAGAGTTCCATGGAATTCAGAGGGTTGGCTTGGCTCTATCAGGCTAAAAACCTTATGGATTGGATGAAGGCCCACCAAAGCTCACTGTGCTCATAACTTTCAGACAAACAGATGGCATCCAGGGATCCTGACCAGCTGGCCCCAGATGGGCCCCCATCCTGACGAGGAAGAGGGACATCTCCCAGTTTCTCCAAGTCTACCTATTAGGGAGTCCGCCTAGGTACATGTGACCTGTACAGAGTCTGAGGCAGAGATGCTGGCCAGAGAAAAAGGAAAATTAAACAGGAACAATCTAACTTGCCCAGGTGGTTGATCAAAACCTCTGGAGTTCTGGGGTCCAGAGGGTCTTTGGGGATCCCGGACAAGCCCCCAGATGTTGTGCCCAAGTCACAAGGTTCCCCAAAGAGACCAGGGAGACAGACCACCGACACAAATGCATAAGGTTTATTAAATTGTTTATCTTTTTTGTTTTTGTTTTTTGAGGCAGGGTTTCTCTGTGGCTTTGGAGACTGTCCTGGAACTAGCTCTTGTAGACCAGGCTGGTCTCGAACTCACAAGAGATCCGCCTGCCTCTGCCTCTAGAGTGCTGAGATTAAAGGCATGTGCCACCAACGTCCGACTTAAATTGTTTATCTTACACCTTGGAAGGGACGCCGTCTAGGAAGCTGACACATCAGCCTCCAGAGAGGGTGAAGTTCCTGTCTATTGCTAGGTTTTAAAGACAAAAGTTGCAGGATTACATCATTAGGTACAGGTTGATTTCTGATTGGTTGACATTTGGGGAACAATCAAGAAATTACTCAAAGTCATATTTTGGCATGAAATACCTGTGTACCAGGTATTCTCATTGGTCAAGTCTGAGAGGGAACATTCTGTGGTTACTATGGCTTTGTGTTGTTACTTGTAGGTGGCCTGTTGTTCATAGATATCAATAGTTTTCAGAACTGTATCCTGGAGACTACAGGGGAGGTTTTGGTCTTCCCTAGAGTTTGTTTTGTGGCCAATAGTTCCCAGGAACCAAGCACCTAGGAGGCTGGCAGTGGGGTGGGGTGTCTGGAGTTTCTTTGTGCTTAGTTTTGGCCCTAGGCTCTAGGAGGCCAGAGGATCTAGAGTTTCCTTGTGCCAGAGGCCTATGTGTCTTTTCTTAGCCTGTCATGGCTGCTAAAGCAGGGATCTGAGTGAGGGTCTGGTCCCTTTATTTTTAAATTATTAGAAATGAAGCCTTTGAGTTTAGTTTTCCCCCTTTCAAGTCTATGTTTGTTTGTTTTTGTTTTCCAAGGTAGCGTTTCTCTGTGTAGTCTTTGCTGTGCTGAAATTAGATCTGTAGACCAGGCTGACTCAGAAATCCGACTGCCTTTGCTTCCCGGGTGCAGGGATTAAAGGCATGTCCTACCACCACCCAGCAGAATATATATGTTTAAAGACACCTGGTCTGACATATATTATTGCTTCTGTTTAATTCAATTTAAAGTCAAGTCTATACAAACTCAGCTAGTACATTTTCACAAGGCAGCCTTCAGGCAGGCACAGATTCAGACCCATACAACAGAGGATGGGTGACACAGAAAGCATGAAGTAGAGAATTAACCTGAACTTGCTCTTGATTAAACAACTCTAAGGGGGAGTGCTTTTACTTTCTCCTTAATGTGACAGTGACACATTACTGGTGATTCCAAGGTAATCACTACTAGGTATAATCCACACAAAGGATAGTAAACCCCTTTTCAGTTAGAAACACTAGACAGCAATTCAGCCCTACCTTTAGGGCCATTATAAAAAATTATTTACGTGCATTGGTGTTTCATCCACATATATGTCTGTGAAAAGGTGTCAGATCCCTTGGAACTGGAATTACAGGCAGTTGTGAGATGCCTTGTGGGTGCTGGGAATTGAACAAGGGTCCCCTAAAAGAACCGAACCACTAACCCATCTCTCCAGCCTCGCCACCCACCCCCACCTCGGCCATTTTAAATAGCAAAACCATTAACACCCGGTAAAATATATTTGTAACAGGTTGCCCTTATTTAATATCACCTAAGAATGAAAAAGGGTTGGTGAGATGGCTCATGGGCGTTTGTCTGCCAAGCCTAAAGACCTGAATTTCATAGCCAAAGCCCACATGCTGGAAGGAGACCTGACTCCTCAAAGTTGTCCTTGACCTCCACGAGTGCCCAACACACACACACACACACACACACACACACACACACACACAAGGAAAAGAGGACAGAGGTTTTAGTTTTCATGTGTAATAAACCCAGACTCCTTCAATGACCTTGGTGACTAGGATCCAGCCTACCTTCCAGAGTCCTCGCCTTACTGGCCAAAGTGTCCTTCCGTTCTAGCTAATCCAAAGCCAGTTCCTTTCTTTCCACTTCACGCCTCCACCATCTCCTTCACGCCTCCACCATCTCCTTTCCTAACTTCCCTGCCGAAAGGCAACACTCCATCATTCTGTTGGGCGGTTCTCTAGCTTTCCTTCCTGGCGCTGGGCATTTTGTGGTTTTTCAGAATGGAAGCTGTGTGAGGACAGGGACAGCCAAGCACAGCGTCGGGACAGCCTAAGGCAAAGGTTGTGTTCTCTCTCTAGCGGTGCACAGCGCGGCTGGGGCGCAGAGGGAGGGAGCGCGAACCCCGCTCTGCTCAACTCTCCTCAGCCTTTCCCGCAGGGGCAGGCCTTGGGTACGCCCACGTGCTTATCTCTAGCCAGCAACGCGCCTCCATTGACGTCACCCTAGCTCGTCACGTGTGGTGTGGTTCTAAGCTCCGCCCTGCGCCGCGAGGCCAGAAGCTTGGGCCTTTCTCCAAACCCTATCCATGTCCTCTTAACAGGATCTGAGGCAGCCGTTCCTCCAGCTGCGCCGTGAGGGGCTCCACCGACGGTGAGTCGCCTCTGGGACTTCTGGGCGGCTTCCGGTGGGGGACCCCTCGCGCCCGGCGAGGCGGAGCTGGGCTATGAAACCCTCGGCCCGCGTGACATAGCCCGCGGAGTCCCGCCCTCTCCTCTTCGCCGCGCGGTGGATGCCGGGAGTCGTAGGCCCCCGCCTCAGGGAATGCTGCGGGTGCGCAGAAGGACTACAAGTTCCAGGGTCCTCGGGGTGCGGGGGCGGTGTGCGCTGCCAGCCCGCTACTAGAGGGGCTCCTCTGAGCGCTGCACCGGGCCGGACCCGTGGCGTTTTCTGTGTTCCTCCGCCCTCGGGTTCCTGGATTCCGAGGTAAAAGGGACTGGGGTACCGTGGTGGAGTCCATTCCCCCATCCTGAGACGCAGAATCGGGGCGGACAGTTGATTTTCGGTGTGGCTGCAGCTGCTGGGCTGCGAGGGACTGCTTTTCAGGGCCGCGAGCGACTGGGCCTGCAGACACGGGATTATCGGCCTGAGAAGGGCCAGCCCACTCGGGTGATCCTTATCACTCCTTTCTACATTTCTCTAAGAAAGGCCGTAGGTGTCATTTTTCCTCGGGGTATGGAGGGTAGAGGAACGGCTGTCGGTCGGGGAGGGTTCCCGCGCCAAGCCACCCCAGAGACCCGCGGGGGAGGGAGGGGGGCGCGCCGGGGGGGGGGGGGGCGCCCCTCCCTGCAGGTCTGGATGCGGCTTCACGAGGCGCTCCGGCAGAGCTCTAGGAAGGCGGTGGGCTGGCGAAGCCCCAAGCTATCCAGTACCTTGGAGAAGGTGGGTCCCCTGGGGCCTCTCAACAGGTGTGAAAGAAGATGGAGCGAACAGTTTAGGATCCTCTACATCAGAAAGACCTGGACTTTCCCCATCCCCCAGGATCTGATTTGGTAGTTAAGGAATGAGGCCCAGAAATCTGCATTTAGTAAGCTCTCCAGAAATTCTCATGCACACTTGGGACTGAGAACCTGTGTCTTAGGAGTGAGGATCAAGGGCCCTGGAGGAGGGCATTTGCTAGCTTTTACATCAGTTTTATATAATCCAAACACTACATTGAGCTTTCCCCGGTACTTTGCTTCTTCCCTTGAGTTGGGTGGGAAGAGGCAGGCATGTCTGCTCTTCTTGCCCTCTGCTCATAAGAAGAAAGATGTTTTCAGTCATTCACTGTCTCGAAGACCTCTGTCCCGACGTTTAATTAGGAAAAATTAAAAGCATGCAGAAAATGTTGACTTACAACAGTGCACAGAATGTGTGGTTAATATTGTCCTTTATTGTATACCCATCCAGCAGTCTCTTATTTTTATGCATGCCAAAGTACACTGCAGATAACAGTATATTTCCATTGCTGGTAGTTAAGCTTGCATATTATTAACTAGTCTTAGAAGTCTTGGTGCTTATTGATTTTTTAACCTTGGCTATTTAAAAGTCTGCCTCCCAGCCCTGAAGATCCAAGGTTTTGGAGGGTTTCTCAAAGGATGTGGTTTTAGAACCAGGAAAGACCTTTATATAGACTCTTAGAGGACTTGAAAACAGCTGACCATGGCTTTAGAATCAGAAGAAACAGGGAGTGTGTAAAGAATACTGAGGGAACAAAACTGTTTTGAGAAAAAGAAAATGGCATGTGTCCCAGAGGCCTGGTTGTCCCAGCAGATTATGCTGGCAATAACCGGTGAGTTGTCTGCTTGTTCAGCCCTTGGCCCTGTTCTCTTGGCTTGTTTTGAATGTTACAAGCTTGCCCAGTTTGAACCTGCTGCTGTGGTGGGTGTGTTTGAAACTCTAGAACAGGGTGAAGGTACTGATGAATTATGGTTATAGTTTTGAGTCCCACAGGTCTCTGTACTTGCTCCATAGTTATGAACACCAGACTATAACACACCCTGTTCATTTGTAAGGGAGAAAAGTCAGAGACACCCCTCAAAAGGCAAAAAACGGAGAGAACACACAGTTTGGGAGATGTGGCAGTAAAAGGCTTGTCATTTATGTTGTCTGTCCTGTAAGTCAGAGTGTGGGGAGTTCTACAGAGGAGTTGGTCTTTTTTTTTTTTTTAGATTTTTGGAGACAGGGTTTCTCTGTGTAGCCTTGGAGCCTATCCTGGCATTTGCTCTGGAGACCAGGCTGGCCTCGAACTCACAGAGATTCGCCTGCCTCTGCCTCCCAAGTGCTGGGATTAAGCAGTTGGTCTTTACTGGGGTGAGGAGGAGAGTGTGGCTGGCATTGTTGATGGAATGTTTCTTGTCCTATGACAGAACTTAGATTGTACAAAACAGAAATGGACCCATTTCCTGGAGCCCACAAAAGACTCCATCTGCACCCAGGATACCACCAAACACTATGTGTTGTAGGGAAGTCTCCGTGGAAGTATACCACTGCAGAGAGGAGAGCAAGGCAGGCCTCAGCCCTTCCTTAGAGTCCCCTACCCTTCCAAAACCACCCACCCACACAGTCCTGAGCCTGTGGCCCCTGGGCCTACCTGGTCCCTTAAAACTGGTGGTGATAACAGGGTCGTGGGGTGAGTATATCCTAGACTTGGAGATGGCAGACCACACTGAAGAAGGTCCCTCTTTGTGACTCTGAAGCTTTAGGACAAGCCATTTCCCTTCCTAGAACCTCATGTGTTACATTCAGGCAAGGAACAACACCCAGACTAGATGAAAACCTGTGTCTGCCATAAGTACTGAAAAGATGAGGATTTCTTCATGATAAAGTACTTGGAGCTGCATAACACAAAGAAATCTTAACAGCCTGGTGTTGCACCCCTATATTTTCAGCTACTGTGTAGGCTGAGGTGGAAGGATTGATTGTTGAACCCAGGAGATGGGCAAGGGTGCTGGTTTACAAAACACTGTTACTCTTCCCCTGAAAGCGGTTGTAGTACATTTTCTATATGGGAAACCTTTCTCATCCCATGCTTCTGATATGAGTGCTGAAATCCCTGACTGGTCTGTCCAGTGGGGGTCCAGTTCATCAGTTCTTAATTACAAGGTGTCAGAGGAGCTCAGTTAAAACTCTGACTGTGCCCAATAAGCCACACATCCAATAAATGCTGATTTAGTCTGAACTCAGATCCAGTTGTGTGCTATGTCTAGGAGTTTCCTTCTAGAAGAAACACTAGTGAAGTAGGTAATAAGATGCGAGGGTTACTTACTCCTTGAGTAGTTACTCTGACATTCAGTGACTAAGTCCAACAGCCTTATAAGTTGGAATGGAGTGAGATTTCAGTGCAGCATCCTTTGTATATTTATTGTTGCTCCTTGGCTGATTGTCTAGGATAGTGGTTCTCAACCTGTGGGTCAAGATCCTTTGGGGGATTGAACTCCCAGAAATCCATTTGCCTTTGCCTCCTGAGTGCTGGAATTAAAAGACATGTGCCACCACCACCCAGCACTTTCCTGTTTTTAATTTTGACCATAAATAAAGGCACTTTCAGAAAGAAGACCAGGAGGTCTGCCTCAGCTGTGGCATTTGAGATAGGAATAGCATAGGATGTCCACCGAGGTTAATCCCAAATCCCATGGACTCATTTATTCAGCAGATAGGTACAGAAGTTTCAGAGAAGTGCAAGGTAGGTGAGTATGGCTGGAGTGGACTGAAGAAGTCTTGGTACATAGGGCTGAACCTAGACTTTTCTCTCAAACCCCAGTGGGCCATCAGATGACATAGAGGGTTTTTTGTTTTGTTTTTTTCTTCAGAAGTAGTATTGGTCAAGGTTTAAAGGAAATGTTTTAGATTGTCAGGGCTGGAGAAATGTCTTTGCAGTTAAGAGCACTTGCTGCTCTTCCAGAAGACCAGGTTTCAGTTCCTAGCACCTATGGTAACTCCATTTCCATGGGATCCTACACTCTCTTCTTTCTCAGGCACTCCATGAATGTAGTGTACAGACATACTTGCAGGCAAAACCCCATACACATAAAATAAAATTTTTAAAAACTTGGCAGCTGTAACATCTGGGAGGCAGAGGTAGGTGGATCTCTGTGAGTTTGAGACCAGCTTAGTCTATAAGAGCTAGTTCCAGGACAGCCCCCAAAACAATACAGAGAAACTGGGGGAAAAAAAAAAAGTTGGCAGCTGGCAAGATGCTCAGTAGGTAAAAACATTTGACTTTAGACCTTAATCCTCAGGACACATTTAACAAAAAGAATGAACCATCTGTCTTAGTTTGGCCTCTGATTTCTACAGGCATACCATGGCACAGGAGCCCACACATGTACATAAATTGTGATTTAAAAAAAAAAAAATGTTTGGAACCAGGCATTGGGGGGCCACGCCTTTAGTCCCAGCACTCTGGAGGCAGAGGCAGGTGGATCTCTGTGAGTTTGATTCCAGCCTGGTCTACAAGAGCTAGTTCCAGGACCGCCGCCAAAGCCACAGAGAAACCCTGTCTTGAAAAACCAGGAAAAAAAAAAAAAATGGAACCCCTTTCAGCCATCTAATTTGGTGACTGGCTGTGGCATGCACACAGTATTTGAATCTCTGCTGGGAATGACTAATGCCCTGGGCTTGGAACTCCCTATCTGCCATCCTGCAGGACCCCAACCCACAGACCTCTTCAGGTGGTTAGAGCCACCCAGTGGTCTTGCCTATTCTGTAAATTCTTCTGAAAGGGGCCCTAGGTTCCCAGGTGGATCGATAGGTACCTGAGTTCTAGGACTGTGAATTGAATTATCACTGTTAGGGGTGCAGTGAAGTGTCTGAATTAAGGAGTTGAGGATCTTGACTCTTGAGTAAATAGTCACTTAGAAAAGGTAGCTAGGCTAATAATGGATTCACTGAATAAAAGTGGCCCATGTTCAGAACTGAAGAACCATTCCCTGTTCAGGGAATAAGACCTTACATGATCACTTCTTAGCTCTCAGATCCCAGGTGTTCTGTATCCCCCTAAGGCTAGGCCACATATGCATGGTTTACCTACTTTGCCTAGAGATGAACCACACTCTGACCTGCTTCTCTGAGGCTTCAAACTGGCCAAAAGAGAACTGTACCTAGCACTGCCAGAGGTGCCCATGAATGTAGGGTTCTCCCTTCTAGTAGCCACCTGTTTGCTAAAGGTATACCACACAGTGCAAAGGGAGACTGGAAAAACCTAAGTACCCTCACCCCATTGCCTAGATTATTCAGTGTAAAAGAGATCTTAGCTCAGCTGCTCTCCTGCCTGTACTTACATGTTTTATGTTCAGTGAAGCCTTTCCTATGTAAATTAAGCTCTGTAGCACTCCTTCCCTAATTGTTCCTCTGTCACTGTACTGTGTTTATATTTCTGTTTATAGTTCCCTTTCCCAGTCTGTTAAGATAAATGTCTCCCACCTTGGTTGCCTAGGAAAATGCCTCACATATAGCAGACACTCAGTATTATTGGTTGAATAAAATCAGATACTACCTGAATTTCTGTTATTTTGTCTTCCTATGAGCTTATTGGCTCTGAAGGCATAGGGCCATGTTGTATTCCCTTTTCCCTTCCCTCAAAATATATTATCAAATGGAGAGTTGAATTCTTAAGTTCACAATCACTGGATTAGTTCTAATGTCAAACTGCCCTTTAAAGTCCTTGAATAGTCCTGAGCTTTGAGAATTTATGGAATGACTGCAGCCCAAGGAGACATTTTGTTTTCTCCCCAGCCTTGCCTTCAAAGGAAGAGCCAGGGGCTAGGCAGTGAGACTTCACCTTTTTGTTCTGGGTACCATGAAATCCATGTAAACTTAAGTACAGAAGATGGGAGCATAAGGCCCACCCACACAGATGTTTGGTGTTGTGTTCTTTTTTTCTAAATTTATTGTTATTTTAT